TGCCATGATTTTCTTTCGTCGAACTCGTGATAAAATACCCCGTCTGAAGTGAGAATAAAGAGAAGCTACACTAATTGATCTTGACACAATAACCACCATTAAACAAAGCATCCAGCGTCAAGGTAAAAACACACCTGTGAGATACTGTATTAAGGGTCAATTACTCACTCACTCACCTGAAGATTAGCCTGCCCCCCTCCCCCGAGCTTATTTCTCCAAAGTATATGATTAAACACCTTAATTGTATCTGGGTAGAGGTTAGGTTAGGTTAGGTTAGGTTAACGTCTGGGTGGTACTAATATGCGTCTACCACAAAGCTCCTTGATTATTACGTTTAAAGGGCATCTAGAGAAGTACACCATTTAGGGAAGTACACCATCTAGGGAAGTATACCATCTAGGGAAGTATACCATCTAGGGAAGTGCACCATCTAGGGAAGTACACCATTTAGGGAAGTACACCATCTAGGCAAGTACACCATCTAGGGAAGTACACCATCTAGAGAAGTACACCATTTAGGGAAGTATACCATCTAGGCAAGTACACCATCTAGGAAAGTACATAATATAGGGAAGTACAACCATCGAGGGAAGTACACCATATAGACAAGTACACCATCTAGGGAAGTACACTATCTAGGGAAGCACAATCATCTAGGGAAGTACACCATCTAGGCAAGTACACCATCTGGGCAAATACACCATCTAGGAAAGTACACCATATAGGGAAGTACACTATCTAGGGAAGTAGGCCATCTAGGAAAGTACACTATCTAGGAAAGTAGACCATCTAGGGAAGTAGACCATCTAGGCAAGTACACCATCTAGGGAAGTACACCATCTAGGGAAGTACATCATATAGGGAAGTACAACCATCGAGGGAAGTACACCATATAGGCAAGTACAAGTACACCATCTAGAGAAGTAGATCATCTAGGCAGGTACTCCGTCTAGGGAAGTACACCATCTAGGCAGGTACACCATCTAGGCAGGTACACCATCTAGGGAAGTAACCATCTAGGTACTCCGTCTAGGGAAGTACACCTCATAAGGCAGGTAATTCTAGTCTAGAAGTAGATCATCTAGGCAGGTACTCCGTCTAGGGAAGTACACCATCTAGGCAGGTACACCATCTAGGCAGGTACACCATCTAGGGAAGTACACTATCTAGAGAAGTAGACCATCCTTTTCCACACACACACAACTATACTCTTCTTCACTTTTATTTTACAGAGACATTTTCTACCAACTCTCTGCCAGGGGTCACTATAAGGAAAGTATCACAGGCGGTGTATTCACGACAGTTCCACCACCACCTACAAGGGGGAGAGTAGGTAACAGCGGAACATTGGTGAAGACTATAGTGAGGTGCAGAGAACGATGGGATAAATAGGTAACTTTCTCAAGGGATTTTGTAAACAACAACAACAACAACAACAACAACAACAACAACAACAACAACAACAACAAATAACAACAACAACAACAACAACAACAACAACAACAACAACAACAAACAACAACAACAACAACAACAACAACAACAACAACAACAACAACAACAACAACAACAACAACAACAACAACAACAACATAACAACAACAACAACAAACAAACAACAACAACAACAACAACAACAACAACAACAACAACAAATAAATCAACAACAACAACAACAACAACAACAACAACAACAACAACAACAACAACAACAACAACAACAACAACAATACAACAACAACAACAACAACAACAACAACAACAACAACAACAACAACAACAACAACAACAACAACAACAACAACAACAACAACAACAACAACAACAACAACAACAACAACAACAACAACAACAACAACAACAACAACAACAACAACAACAACAACAACAACAACAACAACAACAACAACAACAACAATAAACACAAATATAATAATAATAATAATACAGTAACAACGCAATATAGAAAGCCGTTTTGGTGACCTACAAAAGCTGGTGATGTACAGTAGGTCGTGTGTCAAGAGGTGATATAAGGTGAGCTGGTGGACACACGTGTTATGAGAGATACCGGGTCCTCCAGAAGACTCGGATGTTGATTAGGTTACGTTACCACCATAGGAGTTATAGGTAAGACGCAGCCCTCAATTATAAGACAAAAAAAAAACGTATTTAAGTTACAATCAAAACCTGTAAGAAATTTGCTCGTTGAACATAAATAAACGGTTCTCAGCTAACACCACACACTGACAACTGATTAAACCCATAAAATTGTCGTTATGCACCGTCTGGTAACTTATGCATCAGCTTCTTGACTGACAACTGATTAAACCCATAAAATTGTCGTTATGCACCGTCTGGTAACTTATGCATCAGCTTCTTGACAAACTTGGAGGAATTGAAGTAGAGTATGTTTGGACGGCCGGGTGCTAATCAGTATATCTCCCTGTATAAGTATAAGGGGAAAACAGGTCAAGGTGAAGGTCTCTCCAGTGTACCTCATTATAATAAGTTAACCTTATAGTGAAGTGACCTTAAAACAGGTCAAGGCCGCCCGCCACATACGTCAACTTTATTATCTTGCAAAACACATTATAATATTATGAACAGTGAAAGTGGGCCCTATTGGCCTTGCGCCCCGTTAGGTTAGGGCCAGTGTGGATACAGCCCACTACACCCGAAGGAAGCTTTAGCCTTCGGTACACAAGGAAACACCATGGCCGGTATTGTTCTTGACCGCCTTCACTTCCCCAAATGTGAGGTTAAATATAATTTTACAACTGGGTCGACTGGGGATGCCCCGGGATCGAACCAGTGGGCCCTTAAAACAATCATTGGCTCAACTTGCTGTCAGTTTGTTCGTAAGTTAGTGCCTACAATTGTCAACCATTTTTAGTACAATTTCATATGTAGAACATATGTTCCTTCTCCTGTTAACTTCAGGGTGATTTAATATGATACAAAAATTAAGTGTTCAAATTTCGTTTTTGTCCTCGTCGTCACTTGTCAAGTTCCTCGACACACACACACACACACACACACACACACACACACACACACACCTTCATGAGACAATACAAGCGGTGTAAGAAACGTCCCTTTTGAAAAATACACTTTTATATAGTATAATGCACAACAAAACAAATAATAATAACCTCACTTAAATATTTCAACACCGTCTACCACAATACAGTACATCCATCAATAAAACTATTTACCATTTGCGACTCACAGAAAAAACCCACAAGGGATTAACACCATGACCGGCATATTCTTCTATAAACAGAAATTTACATGTATACAATTGTGATCAAAACTTCTCCTGGGCATTCGGTAAACTTGCCATGTATCGTGGGTCAGATATGGGTTCAGTTCATAGTATGTTAACGTTGTTTTTCATTATAAATTGTGTCAGAATATAAACATGAACAAAAAACTCTTAATAATAAAAAGAAAACCCGAGTAAATTGATATTAAAATCCCAGTTCAATGTTGTCATCAAGTGTCGAAGTGATTCAGTTAACAAATGTTTACAGTACCTTGACAAAATAAGAAGCTTTTAAATATTCAGTACTATATTAACTACTACATTCACTATAAACCAGAAAAATATACACCATCATATTAGTAATGCCTATCAAGACATTTACTCCCATATCGATAATCTTCATTCAATATCTCTAACACTCATATCGTGTTGGTGGGTGGTGGAGGTGCCGACGTCTAGTAAAAGCGATATTATTTTTATATATCGTCTGGCAACACTATGTCAACCATACGGGAAATGATGAGTGTATGGACCAAGTCTATTAAATTCACACAAGTCATTCAAATCAGTCAATATTTTTACTTTTTTTGCTCTCTCTCTCTCTCTCTCTCTCTCTCTCTCTCTCTCTCTCTCTCTCTCTCCTCTCTCTCTCTCTCTCTCTCTCTCTCTCTCTCTCTCTCTCTCTCTCTCTCTCTCTCTCTCTCTCTCTCTCTCTCTCTCTCTCTCTCTCTCTCTCTCTCTCTCTCTCTCTCTCTCTCTCTCTCTCTCTCTCTCCTCCTCTCTCTCTCTCTCTTTCTCCTCTCTCTCTCTCTCTCTCCTCTCTCTCTCTCTCTCTCTCTCTCTCTCTCCTCTCTCTCTCTCTCTCTCTCTCTCTCTCTCTCTCTCTCTCTCTCTCTCTCTCTCTCTCTCTCTCCTCTCTCTCTCTCTCTCTCTCTCCTCTCTCTCTCTCTCCTCAGGTCATCGTCTTGGTAGTGATCACAGACGCAGGTGAACGAGGCCTCAACAACCCAGGTATAGATAACGATAATAGAAGCGAGTGAGGGGATGGCGGGTGGATCCTTAAGTAACACGTATCAGTGGATTGTTACGTGCCCGGAATAACACACACACTCCTACACCTGGCTGGCTGGGTAGGTAGGGGGGCTATATGTCTAACACGTCTTGTTATCTACTCCATTACGTATGATAACTCGACCTAAATGACATAAAATAAATAAAATATAAAAATACACGTAAGGCACAGTTCTAGAGTTTGATCTTGTTGGGATATTGACACACACACACACACACACACATGTATTTTTTCTTCTTTGTATCTTCCTTAATTATCACTATTTATTCTACTTTATTCACTTTCTAATTCACCATTGTTAATTTCTCCAGTATCAATACCCCTCACCCGTGGCCAGCATCGCAGTATGACGTCCACTCAGTCAAAAGATAACTTCTCTACCGTGTAAATACCAGACACCGCTGTAAATACCCGCACTGGTAAACTTTCCATACTACCATATAGATTTTAAAACAATACTCAAAACACTTTACTCCTCTGTGCCTACGTCAGAATTTTTATTTTATTTGTACACCTAATAATTATGTTTACTTTTATGATTTTTTTTATTAATCCTAAAAAATAAAAATAAAACATTCTTACGATAATTTTTATTCCTGGGACTAAATCAGAGCATCCAGACCTATCTATCAATCTGTCTGTCTGTCTGTCTCTCCCCAACAGGACGCCAGTGAACACGAGTATGAGGTGGCTGTTCCTGCCTTCTATGATGACTACACGAACGGAGATCCAGTGAGTACCTTACCTTACCTTACCTTACCTTACCTTATCTTACCTTACCTTACCTTTCTTGGTCTGACAGGTGTAATGGTGGTGCCAAGGGTGTGGTGATGATGGTGGTGCCAAGGGTGTGGTGATGATGGTGGTGTCAAGGGTGTGGTGATGATGGTGGTGTCAAGGGTGTGGTGATGATGGTGGTGTCAAGGGTGTGGTGATGATGGTGGTGTCAAGGGTGTGGTGATGATGGTGGTGTCAAGGGTGAGATGATGATGATGATGATGATGATGATGATGATGATGATGATGCCAAGAGTATATATGCTCTTACCTTAGTTCCTCCCTCTGGCGCCGTTGCCGAGGAGGTACCATTGGCTCGAAGTCGTGCCGAGGTGACGCCCCTGCCTCCTCCTGTAGTAGAGAACAACACAGTGGGAGAATTAATAAACCCGTGTCGTGTACTGGGCCTCATACATCTTATTATAATGACACAAAAGCCCCGTCACCTTATCAATATATAACTTAAACTAAATAAAGCGACTGAGAATTTGTTTATGTCATGTCCTTAATAGCGTTATCAGGGTGAGAGTCTTTAATGGCTAATCGGCTGAAATAAACACTAAATGTAACCTAACTAAACCTAACTAAACCTAACTAAACCTAACCTAACCTAACCTAACCTAACCTAACCTAACCTAACTTAACCTAATATATATAAGTATTTTCGTAATTTTTTTTTAGCAGAGAAAATTTTGTAAGGCATTATTTCCCAACAACTGTTTTTAAGGTAAGTTTGTTGTGGTCTCTTAACAAACTGGTGGAGCCATATCAAGTGTAACTCTCCCTAGCATGAGTAAAGAAAGCACAGAGTCTAGTTAAGGGTGCAACAAAGGTGTTATCCTACATACCAAACCTCTCCAAACTGCGAGTTGTTGTCAAAGAAAAAGGACATATGATAAACGTTCTACAGCTAGACATGAGGTGAGGCTCACTTCTGGACTCAATTCACCTTGTGAGTGTAGGAGACTAAATTGACTTAATCCGTGATGGCTGAGACACTAAGCTATGTTGGCTGAGGTAGACTACAACAGCAACTTACTAGTGTTATCTGCAGTGTGCTCTTGGCTGTCCTTTCTCCCTGCATCTTCCTCGTGCCCGTGGTCGTGGTGCCCGTGGTCGTGGTGCTCATGGTCGTGGTGCCCGTGGTCATCACTGTGGTCGTAGGGATGCGCATCACTACCGCTGGTCGTCTCACCCACACTTCTTTTTCGGTTGTCGTTCCTGTGGTTGTTGTCTATAGGGTAAGGCCTGTCGTTTTGACGGGCGTTGTTGTAATCCATTTGGTCGTGTTGAGCGTGGTCCTTAGAGTGGCCGTGGTCGTCCTCGAAGTGGTTACTGCGCCCATTGTCGTCGTGCGCGTCTTTGTTATCTACAGCAGCGTGCTTGGGGTCGTCACCAGAGTGGCTGTGGTCGCCACCCAGACGAATACCAGAGCACCTGTGGTCCTCTGGATGATGGTCGTGGGTGACGTGGTCGTCATCCGAGTGGTGCTCATGACCATGGTGATGGTTCACACCAATACCTAGATTATTCAAGAGCTTCTGCAGCCCCTCCGGCGTGATGACGCCAGTACCTTCGGCGTAGCGCATAAACAGCTCGCGGAGATGAGGATTATCCTTCAAGATCTGTTGGTCACTGACTCCAGGGGCAGGACACATAAACACTGCGGGGGCCAGCACCAGCAGCCCCAGCAGCATGGCCAAGGAAGCCATCAGGAAACGCTATGCGGGGAGCAATGTGTACCTTGGAGGTGGGGGAGGCAGGTGGTGAGACAGATGTACAGACGGCGGCGACTGAAGAGTCTGGTAACGCTGCAGGTGTGCTGAAGAAGATGGTGGTAACTGGGGAATCAGCAGCTGCACCGAAGGCGGCGTGACTGGCGATGCGGGCGCTGCAGCGGGGGTGGTGCTCACCTTCTCTGCTCCTCTCCTCTCCTCCGACTACCGCCCACACCAGACCCAACATTCACCTGAGGCAACACACGGGACCATTCACTTAAATCACTTGTTCAAGGGCAGGTGTGATAGTAAGGCTATTCATAAATCTAAGGGGAGCTAACTAACATCTGGGAGGAGCTAACTAACATCTGGGGGAGTTAACTAGCATCTGATGGGTTACACAGGTGCTACAAGCCCAGTTACAGGTGGTAAGGTTCAACCAGGTGAGAGAGGAAGATAATTAACATATGTCAGAGGGGAACCAATGATGGAGAGAAAGGGGGGGGGGTGTTATGATGGAGGTGTGAGGGAAAAGGTGATGGGGGAAATGTGAATAAGATGTGAGGGGGAAGGTGATAAGGGAAGAGATGCGATGGAGAAGTGTGGGAGAAGGTAAAGAGGGGGTAGATAAGATGGAGGAATGAGGGAGGAATCAATTACTCACTAAAAATATGAGGGTAGGGGACTGAAGGGGGTTGAGGGGGTGGAGAAAAGAGGTAAGGGAGGAATGGTGGGGTGGGGAATAGTAGTGGGGATCACTAGCCTCTAAAGAAAGTCTTATCAGGGTAAAAGTACACTTCTGTGGCATTATATGAGGTGTGGGGGATTGATGGGCGGGAGGAGGTCGATGGGCAAGAGGGTTGATGGACAGGGGAGGTTGATGGGGAGGAGGTTGATGGGCAGGGCAGGTTGATGGGCAGGGGCGGGTTGATGGGCAGGGGCGGGTTGATGGGCAGGGGCGGTTGATGGACAGGGGGCAGGTTGATGGACAGGGGAGGTTGATGGACAGGGCGGGTTGATGGACAGGGGAGGTTGATGGACAGGGCGGGTTGATGGGCAGAGGAGGTTGATGGACAGGGGGAGGTTGATGGGCAGGGGGCGGGTTGATGGGCAAGAGGGTTGATGGACGGGAGAGTTGATGGACAGGGGAAGTTGATGGACAGGGGGAGGTTGATGGGCAGGGAGGGTTTGATGGACAGGGGGAAGGTTGATGGGGGGGGGTATCATGGGTGTACCTGAAAATTTCAACTTTTAGTAACATTCACAATTTAGAAATATAATCTTATGTAATTTTGGGTGAAGTATTGTCTATGAAATAATACATAAAAATACAAGAAATTCATACACGGGGGTATAGTGTATAGTGCTTAGTGAGAAATACACTAGTTTGTGTCTTGTTCTAAGTAATAATGTTATTTTCTAAATCAATTTTCGTTAACTATGTAGTCGTGTGTGTGTGTGTGTGTGTGTGTGTGTTTTGTGTACACCAGTCTGACTGTCGTGTGAAGTGCGTAACGTAGCACACACACACACACACACACGTACAGTACTAACACCACAATAATGCTGTCGAGGTAAAGACGGTAACCTTGAGATAACAACCACACCACATCACAACACACCACACACAGCAACACACCACATCGCAACACAACACAACACACCAATACACACCGCATCACAACCCACTCCACCATCACAACGCTCCCCACCCTAAAAGGCCTGAACGGTGTATGTGTCAATTCATCAAGCAGGGCGCTTTCCTCCACACACCGCTGCTTGATCCACTTGTTGACAATTTTAAGCTTACTGTGTACCTCTCTGCTCTCTCCACTGGACGGCACACGACTCCAAAACGAAACCACAGCTCCACTCATTCCCCTTGTGGTTTCGTTCCTCTGAGTTGTTCTTTACATACTAGCGTTCATTAGCGTTCATGGGGATTACTTGAAATATAGATGTTAGACTTACTCGACTATCATCCCATGTAAAAGGGTTCATTTCGCCACACACGAGAACATGACTCGATACTGACATTGGTTCATGTTTGGATGACTCATAATTGGACACGTCATTGAGTAGCTTCAGTATTTATATTCACTAGATGTGTCAGTTTTCCTCATATGGGATAATAGTGACTTTGAATAATTCGAGCCACAATTCGGTAAACACCCCAAGGCTTCGATCTAGTCAGGCATACCAATTGACTACTTGTAGGCAAGATTAGGCTCTCATTATACGCCAGGTTTAAATAATCATCGGACAAAATTGGGTAGATATTTGTCTTTGACTTTTTTTACTGGGATTAGCCCACCCCGATACAGGTCAATGACCCACATCAGGGCTTGGAGGGCGAAAAAAAATTATTATATAATTATAATATTAATAATAATAAATATTTATAAATATAAACACGTATTATAATAAATAAAAGTAAAATGTAATAATAATAATTGACCATAAAAAATAAAAGAAAAAAGATCAAGAGTGGAAAACGGTGTAATAAAGTATGTTGTGTTGTCAAAGTAAGAGAAACAATGGAGACCCTGTAACTGTGTGTAAATGAGGCAGAAAGTCCGATCAGCAACCTGGGACTTGGTCACACTTTTCATGATTCCATATGGCAGCAGGGTCTACCATGAGACCAACACAATATGCTTCCAATATCTTCCCAGGCGGTAGTACCTCCCTGTTTGGTAGCTGCCGACTAACTGTACTACATACGTCGTAATGAGCTGTACTACTGCAGGCTAGAGTAGAAATATGGTTAACAGGCAAAGTTTAAATGGGTCATTACCTCGCGAAATATTCTTACTAGGGGAAATAATAATAATTACAATACCAACAAAAACAACAACAACAACAACAAACCAATTACCATACAACACACACCACCAACAGCTATCACACATAATCTAAACACTTAAATAACGTTAAAAGCTCGAACAGGAAAATACTGTACGTGTCATATTAACCAAACCCCAAGGCCTAAGACGTATTCTTATCTCGTACACACACAAGCCGACAACATGGACGCCTACTATTCTTGCCACGTATATAAGGGAAGACAAGGCCTGGTCGTCGCACTCACCACCACCAGTTCCACCACCACTATCACCACCATCACCACCACCACCACTGTCACCACCACTAGTTACTATCGAGTTTATTATGAGGTGTCTTATCTCCAACACTCTTAATAGTGTGTGTGTGTGTGTGTACAGAAGGTCACAAAGTACATGATAAAAAGTAAAATGACAGACAAATCATCATCATTATTATTCGTGTGTACAATACTTTAGATTAAGAGAAAAATAAGCCTTTTGATATCATACTTTCTCAAAATTCTATTACCCTCATACATTCCTAAGGACGAGGGTGTCCTATTGTGATAACCCCAACACTAGGATCTCTCTCTCTCTCTCTCTCTCTCTCTCTCTCTCTCTCTCTCTCTCTCTCTCTCTCCTACTTACGTCACCAGCCCCCATTAAGACCTATGAGTATTGTCAACCATCACTACGCGCCAGACAAGAGGAATAAAGATTGTCTGTCGCCAATCTTCCCTTTATCCTCCCCTCAGCTCCCTCTCCTCCCCCTTCCCCTCCCATTGTCACGACCCTCATCCCTAACTCCCTCCCCACCACCGCCACTACTATCCTCAGTTCCTCAACCCAAAACTTCATCACCTACCACTATCCTCACCCCTAACGCTCATCACCTACCACTATCCTCACCCCTAACGCTCATCACCTACCACCATCCTCACCCCTAACGCTCATGACCAACCATTATCCTCACCCCTAAGGCTCATCACCTACCACTATCCTCACCCCTAACGCTCATCACCTACCACCATCCTCACCGCTAACACTCATCACCAACCACTATCCTCACCCCTAACGCTCATCACCTACCACCATCCTCACCCCAAACGCTCATCACCTACCACCATCCTCACCCCACCTGTCTTTCCCCCACCACCACCACCACCAATTTTCCACGCCGACCCCCGACCATCGCCCTCACATAACCACGTACCACCCCCTTCCCCTCCCCACTGGCACGCTATCAACAACATTCGCTACTTCCTCCCTATCCTTGACCCTTCCTCCCTCCCCTTAACTCACTGCGAGGCGGGAGTTGGACCACAAATCGACTGAGGTCACGACTTAACCAGGTCACAGGATTTCGTCATCACGGACACTAATCCATATACAGGATAGGGTAGGGTAGGGTAGGGTTGGGTGAGGGTAGGGTGGGGTAACTTAAAGTTGGGATGGGTTAGGTTCACTAAGGTCAAGTAAATTATTAATCTTTTCTTTGTCAGAGGAATGAAGATATTGTTCCCAGAAGCAAAAATTAACCCCAGACAGACAGACAGACATCAGGTGAAATCGGTATACACTGAGGGTCCCAGCTTACGATGTGATTTTTCTTTCGGCTTGATACCACCATAATTACCTTCTACCTGTCATGGCATGGCTGGAGGAGAAAGGTAAAGTTGGGGGATCTTGTGGGGAGGGGTCTTCAATGGGGAGAGATGTAATGAGGAGGGGTCTTGTGGGGAGAGTCTTGTGGGGAGGGGGTCTGTTGGGGAGGGGGGTCTTGTTGGGGAGGGGGGTGTGGGGGAGGGTGGGGAGAGATGCTTAACCAGGGGGGGTCTTAATGGGAGATGTAATGAGGAGGGGGTCTTGTGGGGAGGGTGCTGTGGGGAGAGTGTGGGAGGAGGTTTTGTGGGGGAGGGTCTTGTGGGGAGGGTCTTGTGGGGGAGGGATGTGGGGAGGGTCTTGTGGGGAGGGGGTGTGGGAGGGGGTGTGTGGGGAGGAATGTGTGGGGGGGTCTGTGGGGAGGGTCTTGTGGGGGAGGAGTCTTGTGGGGGGAGGGGGTGCTGTGGGGGAGGGGTCTTGTGTGGGGGGGTGCTGTGGAGAGATGTGTGGGGGTCTTAATGGGGGAGATGTAATGAGGGAGAGTCTTAATGGGGGGGTCTTGTGGGGAGAGTCTTGTGGGGGGGTGTGTGGGAGAGTGTGGGGATTGTGGGGGAGGATGTGGGGAGGGTCTTGTGGGGAGAGTGTGGGGAGGGGGTCTTGTGGGGGAGGGGGTGTGTGGGGGGGGGGGTCTTGTGGGGGGGGGGATGTGAAGGGTCTTGTTGGGGGGAGGGGGGATTGTGGAGGGTTGTCACGCATGTTTTTGTATTGTTTTTGTTGTTGTCTTGTTGTTAAGTTTGTTTTGTATTGTTGTGTTCTTGTTGTTG